AAACGCCCTTGGGTACCCATAACCATCTTGGGCCCCTTGGATCCTTGGCAAATGGGTCGGGTCCCGAAAACCCTAGTCAGACCCGATGTGAAGGTCCCTCCATGAGAAATGAATCCATACAGCAGCAATATGCAAGCCACCAACACAATGTGTGCTGGATACCCCAGACTACCTTAGAAAGCGAATTCAAGCTCATAATGCCTGTCAACGTTGCAATGCAATGTGGGATAATACTAGTAGTGTCGGAGGGGAACACACCATGACGGTCACCGATCTGCGCGGCCCGTATCCGATGTGAAGCACCAATGGGAAGCGGTCTGGAGGCGCGTATATTCTCGGTGTCACTGGGCGGTTCAGGCAGGGAGATTTTGTGGCCTGCGTGATCAACCCCTGGCGGCTTGATCAGATCTCTTCCCCTCCCTGGTCTGGTTTGGACCAGCTGTACTACAGCAAAGAAGCCCATTTTGTAGTTTACTAGCTTTTCCAATTGCTTTTCCCTTTCTTCAAAAGGCCTCAGCTGTGCGAGGTCTTCTCATACATCGAGAAGGTGTCACCGGAATTGAACCATCAATCTGTTCAAGGTTCCGCCCTACAATCCTTGGAATACTTCATCATTCGTTCTTACCAGAGGCCACTATTCTCCACTCCTATAAACACTCTAAAGCCCTTACCAGATCACGCGAAACAACAGAACATCCATCCTCCCTGCGCGCATAAGCTGTTTCTAAATCTATTCGGTTCTGGACAGCGGCAATGGACGAGGCAACCTCCAAATCTCCAGGGCCCGGCAGGAGCATGGGTCAGATGTGCATCCAACACCGACCGGCGATCAAGAAGCCTTGCAGAGAGTCTCTGTCCCTGGAACGGAGAAGCTCCGGGGGGATCTCGCCCCTGATGATAAGGCGCAACTCATGGGCGAAGTCAAGGCTCTCCGGCAGCGTCTTCTTCAACTTGAAGAGCAAATGCTCAAACAGCCCGGTTCGGCTCAGGTTAAACTGTCAGAAATGGGCGAGCAACAGGGCGAGCATGACGCACACGACCAACATGACGAACATAACGAGAATACTCTGCCTGCCGTTCAAGAAGATGACAATCCATTTGACACCACTAAGCCAGTTTTAAACCACATAGGCGTACACAAGAACAAATTTCGTTCTTACGTTTCAAACTTACCTGACGTTGGCTCAGCGGCCATTGAAGCCGTGACGTTGCAAGACGCCTCTTGGGCTGTGGGCAGTCTTGGTGTCTGTGCAAATCCGGATCTCAGGCTCTTATCACGTTGGAAAAGCGGCGAAGCCCCATTACCAGATTTCATCGCAATCAACTCTCAGATTTTGATAGATTCCATGTGCGACTTCCTCGTGCCTCCAGGTGTGTGCCCTCCCAGGGCTCCAGTCATGCTCACGAGACCTTTCAAACAGTTGCTTTACTGGGGTGAGGTTATCCGGATCCGTCATGAAGAGCTCGACCTAAAAAGAGACCGTTCGCAGATGAATTATAATATACCCGATGCGGAGTCCGAAAGTGTTCCAGGCTCTTCTTCTGCAAAAGGCGCGAAGGGCTCTAGCATCATCCAAGAACAACCGAGCAGTTTGGCGCCGCCTTCAGGGGTGGCCCCAGCGGACGATAACGAATGGTCGAGCGCAGGACGAGAAGAAAGAGAATACAAACTTTTTGGGTCCTGATTCAGTTCATGGACAAGTATCTCCAGCCTAGAATCGACTATCTGCGAAGTGGGATGTGCAAAAAATGGACTTCTATGACCTTTCGCTCTTATTCCTGCATAGCGATCTTGTCATGAGCAACGATGGAAAGCAGGCCTATCATATTATGCGCAGACGGATCAGGACGAACACAGTTTCAAGGTTTGAATACGAGCTTCCTGATACGCCACCTGAACTTCGGCAAAGTGGCGATACATGCTGGATGGAAGTCACGTGCGTATATCTCGACTACGATGGGAAACGACTGGGTCCTGTTTCGACGACATTCCGGATAGATTTTCCCCAGGATACCACTTCGCTCGACTCCCTTCCATTCCAACTACTCGAGCCTCGGGAAGGGTATGGTAGGCGGGTGTCAGAAGAGATGCCTCCGTTGTTGACTCGCTTCGAAGAGCGGGGGAAGAAATCATCAAGGCCGCTGCTGTGCAGCTACAGAACATACGACCACTTTTCTACGGGACCACCATTGATAAGAAGCAGTATATCGAAAGCCGGGTCGTGATAGACTTTGAAGGAGCATTTGAGACCTCCACCGGAGGCAAAGACACATGGAGGCCAAACTTTAAAGAAATTGAAGAGCAAACGAGTAGTCACTCCCCGCCACTGAAAGGCTTCGATCTCCACCACAGGAAGTTCAATCTGGTTGACGATTCGTTCATTGATGAACGTGTCAGCAGCGAGCACAGAAAGGACTTAATGAAAACATTGCTCGTTTCTAGAGTCATCGATAGAGCTGATCCAATGGGGGGCATGTCAGATTCTGACTTCGTGATATTGTCTCCCAGGATCTTTGGCTACATCCTTCAACATCAAGAATGGGGTGAGGTTCCCATGGATCCCTTCGCTCCTGTGTTCTAATTAACACCCTATCTCTAGCTGAACTAGACATATCGTGTCTGAGCGAAGACAAGCCAAGCGTAGAGAAAGAGAGGGATGGAAATACAGATGGTGCAGCCTGGGCGAACAAAGAAAACCGGATTCGACCAACTAGTCTTGCCACCTGGGCATAAAGACATTATCCTGTCACTGGTCATCCAGCATTTCCGTCATAAGCAATCAAGCGGGGCAGGGCAAGTCGATATAATTCGTGGCAAAGGTAACTGACTCCCTCCGAAATCCTGTGAGTTTGAGCACGTAGCTGACATTTGCGATAGGGAAAGGACTTATACTTCTACTTCACGGGGCCCCAAGGGTTGGCAAGACTTCCACTGCAGGTAAGGGCCTCAAGTTCTCCGCAGAAGGGATTTGCGACCGGCTGACAGATGGGTAGAGGGCCTGGCAGAGAAATTCCAGAAACCCCTATTTAGCTTGACCTGCGGTAAGCCAACCCCATTTCTGTTCTCAGACCATCGTTGATAATCTGCCTTGTCTAGGTGACCTTGGAACAACTGCCAAGGAAGTAGAAGAGGCACTCAGCAGGAACTTCGCCCTGGCGAGCCGCTGGGGTTGCATTGTACTGTTGGACGAAGCCGATGTCTTCCTTGCGCAGCGCACAAAGGAGGACTTCCAGAGGAATGGACTGGTGGCGGGTTCGTCCTTATTATTGCCCCAAGTTATCGTGTTGTTATGAGTTCTGACCACCCCGAATATAGTCTTCTTGAGGGCTCTAGAGTATTACTCTGGCATACTTCTCCTCACCACAAACAGAGTCGGGGATTTTGACGAGGCGTTCGCCTCTCGCATCCACGTCAGCCTATACTACCCTGAACTCGGGCTAAAAGAGTCCCGAGATGTCCTCAAGCTGAACCTGAAAATAATCAGGCAGCAATATGAAGGAAAACCTCAAACGTTGTCCATTGACCAGGTCGAGATTGGCGCTTTCTTTGAAAACTACTGGAAATCCCACCCGTTTGACCATTGGAATGGTCGCCAGATCCGGAATGCGTGCCAGACAGCTCTGGCACTGGCTGAGTATGAAGCTCACGAAAACGCTAATACATCCAAATCCATGGAAAGTTCGGAGATCTAACTGGATGAGTCACATTTTCAAACGGTCGCCGACGCTTACATGAAGTTCTCCCAACACATAAAGGATATATACGGAGTCCATGCGGCGCAACGAGCAAAAGAGGCCGGTCTCCGAGCCATGTGGGCGAACGAGAAGGGCGAGCCGGTAGCCAACGTGGGCCCAAGGGAGGCAGGCATTCTTAAACCAGAGAGAAAGGCGCGCTACTTGAACAAGTCGAGGGGCCGTGATCCCAGAGCTACCGTCCAGCCGCAAGACCAGTTTGTACAGCAGCCTAGACAGGCTCAGCCGTATGCGGGGGAAGCATATGGTCGCGATGCATATGGACCCGAGATTTCCAATGCCCCGGCCACCCCTCAGAAATACAATACCCCGGCACCACCATATCAACCTGGTCCAGTGATGGCAGCAACGACCCAGCAAGCCTTTACCAGTCATCAAAGTCGGGAAAACGCCCGTCCACATAGTGCGGCGCCTGCGAGTGGGCCGTACTATCATCCCCTGGCACCGCAACAAGATGGCCATCATCTCAACCCTTCCGGGCATGTCGTGCCTCAGGAGCGCCTGGCCCGCAGACCTTCTCCCGGCGCTAGAGTTCCACATGAACCAGACTATCGGGGCCCCCCTCCCGCTGAAGAGATGGCTAGGGATCGCTCGGGCAACTACTCATATCAGCATCGTCACGGCGAGGTAACTCAACCCTCTAAATCCACCTCACGTGCTGACTTGTCTCGACGTGATACTGACTTTGAAGTAGTAACCGTAGTGGCGGCGAGTGAAGTGCCATGGCCAAGATGGAATACCTATGACATGCTATGACATGATAAAGGTCCTGATGGAGGATGTCGACGGTGGAGAATGCATTTAGTGGATCTAGGTTGCGATACCATAGGGAGGAGATATTTTCAACACAAGAAAATAAAAACAAAGAGAAGATGAAGGATGGCAACGAGAGTCTCATTTGGGTTTCCTGTCTTTCCTAGAGTCACTTCATATCAGAGTATACTTCCCTTATCACGCTCATTTAACTTCCTCAAGCAAGGCACAGCAATACAAGCACTACGGTACAAGAAACATGATCCTTTTCACCCGTCAATGCGCAAACAAAACTTGATCTTGGGCCCGAGAGGAGGATGTAGTGGAAACTTTAAGCCGCGTCAAGCACGTGAGTTGTGACGTGGGTGGTGACTTGGTGAAGGAATAAGTTAACTAATAACCAGAAAAAAAAAGACATAAATAAAAATGAGAGGAAAGGAAAGAAAGCAAAAAGAGGCTGCTATCCCCAGTGAACTGGGGAGCATCAGGAATTGAGCCCGATGCGGGGGTCGAACCTATTGAGGTTTTGTTAGAATTTTTCGTTCTGTTGTGTTTAGACGATGATCACGATGGACCTACCCGCAACCTTGAGATTAAGAGTCTCACGCTCTACCGATTGAGCTAACCGGGCAGGCTTGGGTTAGTTGAAGAGTCGGTGGTTGAAAAGTTTGTGAAGTATTAGGTAATTGTGGTTTGAGGTGAGGCAGATGAGACAACCGCAGTACCTTAGGTACACGAGACTAAGTTTATTAACCTAGCGAGATCCTTCATTGGTCTGGTTCCTGACTTGCAGTGCCGGATGCTCAGGCTAAGCATGAAATCGGGCCATGATTCTGAGACTATGTGCGAACTTGGTTAGACCCTGGCATCCTGGCGTTGTGTAGGTGGACTGGGCATCATTTCATCGCATGAATCTATTAATAGGATCGTCAAATTGCCTTCATGGGAGGATGGCTTTCCATGTCGAAAGGTGCCATCGAGCTTCTGTTTTGGACTACAAAGTAAGATCATTTCCCTGCTTGAAGTTGACCTTCTTGTTTCAGTGATGAATTGTCTCAGTAAGCATTTTTGTCCTTTGTGCCCAATTCAAGGGCCGCGCGCACGTGTAAAGGGGCATTCGAAACAGGAAGCTGTTTATGTCAATAGTATCTGTTTCTGGGATGATCGCCCGTCACATGGCGAGTTGAATAACGGGAATTGAACGATGGCAGACAGAAGTCTTGGTAGCCCAAGGGGCATGGTACAAAAGGAGGCGGGTTCGCACTTTGTTGACCTTGATGGCGCCCTTAACACCGACGGTTGTACATACACAATATCCGCTTCGTCCGCGCAAAAACACGTCAAGCCGCGGAAAAGAAAGATCATCATAATATCTGCCATCACCATGGTTGCCATCACTGCACTCGCATTAGGCCTCGGTCTCGGACTGGGGCTTACAAATGCAAAGTCTACTACCCAACACTCAGTGCCGCCTGAGCCATCTCCCTCTTCCGACATCACTTCAAATGGCAACGCTTTCAAAGACCTTGGCCTGAAACCCGGGACGACCTTTGACTACCCGCTCGGGTTCTCGCTGACCACCTCCAACGCGAACAAGACGACCAAGTTCTACCCCGTGGACCTGGAGAACACGCCCAAGACGACGATCGGGGCGCTCACGGAGGCCGGACACACCATCGTCTGCTACTTCAGCGCCGGCAGCGTCGAGTCCTACCGCGCAGACGCGGGCGATATCCCCAAGGACGCCGTCGGGAAGACGCTGGAAGGGTGGGAAGACGAGCGGTGGCTGGACGTGCGGAACCAGGGCGTGCGCGACGTCATGGCCAAGCGCATCCGGACGGCCGCCGACAAGGGCTGCGTCGGCGTCGACCCGGACAACATCGACGGATACCAGAACGACTCGGGCTTCGACCTGACGGCGGACGACGCCGTCGACTTCGTCGCGTTCCTGTCCGAGACGGCGCACGCTGCCGGCCTGGCCGTCGGGCTCAAGAACGGGGGGGACATCGTCGAGAGGGTGGTGGACATGACCGAGTGGGCTATCAATGAGCAGTGTGCCGAGTACGGCGAGTGTGATTCCTGGGCTCCCTTTATCGATGCGGGGAAGCCGGTTTTCCACGTCGAGTATACGGCGGATGATGACGCGACAAGTGTGAGCGCGTCTCAGCGGAAGAAGGCGTGTTCTGCTGGCGGAAACTCGGGATTCTCAAGTATCATAAAGCACATGTCTCTGGATGACTGGATTGTGTACTGTTAATGAGTAGATGACTGCTTTTTGTATGATAACCCAAGATACTTCACATCAGTGTTTGCTGCATATTCGCTCACCTACTCTTGTATATATACCGAAAAGCGATGGATGGCCTTGTATATGAATCAACAAATATCATCGATTTTGTTTATTGATATGATGGCTGTTTATCTCTGCCATGAATGCATCGAGAATTGCTCTGCTCGGTATTCTGTGGCTGGATGTCACCATGCTGGTTAGCCACTGCATGAAATCATTGAAACGTGATCCTGCTACGACCTCCAACCACAGACCAGACTGAAAATGGTCAAAATCCTCTTTTCATGAGTCCAGACTTGAAATCTGGCATGTCCCCTGGGCTCAGGTTCTCTTCTCGGGTACAATGAAGCAAACCTGGAAAACGGAGCCAAGGTTATTTAGGTACACACGGATATGCTGTAGATTGTAGTCATAAACAGGACGTTACAGACGCCCGACACAGTCGGCGAAGGAGGCAGAGATAACATTCTAAGCAAGGAAGCTACCGCCAGATCGGAAAGCTCTATTCCACGGACCAGGCCACCAGATTTGTAGAACTTAACTAAGTACTATTCTGCCTCCCGTTCATGATGCGACGTGAAGTTGATCTTGCCAAACCTTGAGATTTGGGACCATCTTGCAGATTTCTAGGGTAAGTTCAGCGGGCCACGAGGAATCGAGGAGCATCGTGAAGTCGTGCCAGGTGAGGGACCTCTACTCCGTAACAGGTATCGATAAGCTGGCACTGTGGTAGCCCGAGCTTCTACCGGAACCAAACCCCATATGGGCACTTATGGTGGGGCAGTCCAAAGGTGTGTACCTATGTACCTTATCAGCATCGAAGAGTGGGTCATGAGCTTTTGGAGCTTTGGATCCAAAATTTTCAGTTCAAGGTCTAAGCATTTCTACAGTTTGAACAGCTGTAATTCTGGAATTGCAGTCGCGACGCACCAATTCGAACCCGCCCATCTCCCGGGACTGCCGTCGACGCCTACTGAGCCGATTCGAGGTTGCCAGCCATTCCGACACATTGGGCTGTCTCCGTCCCGACAAGTTTCAGTCCCTAGCCGAATATCGTTATCACCGTGTTTCGTTTGCGCGCCGACCGAGTGACGGTCGACTTCGTATTGCAATCATGCCGCACATCGACTATCTCCTGCACGAGGTTAGACTTCCGAGGTCTTCTTTGCTCCAATTGGCCTTCCATACTGCCAAAAGTTACTGACCCCCCTCATTCCACGACGTAGTCAGCGACCGGATACGCGCTCTTCAAGGTCGTCCACCAGCAAGATGAGATCGGCCTGCGCACCGAGGAGGTGAAGAAGGCGGCCGAGGACCTGGCCAAGCTAGGGAAGATGGTCAGCCTCGCCTCGTATGCCGTCTGGCGATCGGCCGCCGAGGCGCTCGAGAACATCCACTCCATCAGCGAGGGCTTGATGACCGACTACCTGAAATCCACCATCGAGCTCAACATTCCCCAGTCCAAGAAGAACAAGGTCGTCCTGGGCGTAGCCGACAAGAACTTGGCCGGAAACATCAAGGCCGCTTTCCCTGGCATCGAAGCCGAGACGGGCGACACATCCGAGGCGGTGGCCTACCTGCTCCGCGGCATCCGCCTGCACGCGTCTAAGCTGTTGAAGGAGCTTCACGAGGGCGACGAGGAGAAGGCTCAGCTGGGTCTTGGTCACGCCTACTCTCGCAGCAAGGTCAAGTTCAACGTCCACCGCAACGACAACCACATCATCCGATCCATCGCCACCCTGGACAATCTCGACAAGGGCATCAACCTGTTCTCGCAGAAGCTGAGGGAGTGGTACTCGTGGCACTTCCCCGAGCTGTACGCCATCTGCTCTGACAACCTCAACTATGCCAAGGTGGCCCGCTTCATCGGAGACAAGAGCACGCTGAGCGAAGATAAGCTTCACGAGTTGGCTGGACTTCTGGACGACGACGAAGAGAAGGCGACTGAGATTATTCAGAAGGCCAAGATTTCCATGGGACGGGAGCTCGGTGAAGCCGACTTGGAGAATGTCATTACCTTTGCCGAGAAGGTTCAGAGCCTGGCTGGTAAGGTCACCCGGACTGGAATCAGATTCTCTGCTCCGATGCTGATTTTGTTCCTCCACTCACAGAGTACCGGAGGACCCTGTTCTCTTACTTGACCGACAAGATGAGCACCGTTGCGCCCAACTTGGCTACCCTGAGTAAGTCTATGACGACATAAGCCAATACGGCAGCTACTCCTGCCTTCAGACTCTGACATGGCTATCGTACAGTTGGCGAGGTCGTGGCTGCGCGCCTCATCCAAAAGGCGGGTTCGTTGACAAACCTGTCCAAATACCCTGCCTCGACACTGCAGATCCTGGGTGCCGAGAAGGCTCTCTTCAGGGCACTGAAGACGAAGACGTTAGTACCCCCGACACGAATGCTGGGCCATTTTTTGAACTAACTCGAAACCCCATACAGGAATACCCCCAAGTACGGTCTGATCTACCACAGCTCGTTCATCGGGAGAGCTTCGCAGAAGGACAAGGGCCGCATCAGCAGATATCTCGCCAACAAGTGCAGTATCGCGTAAGTGACTCGCCTCTCACCGTGCGTGACAGAAGAATGGCGTAATGGAGACGACCCTGTGGTTCATGGATCCCCTGGCTAACTCTCTCCATAGTGCTCGTATCGATAACTTTTCCGAGCACCCGTCCAAGAAGTTCGGTGATGTCCTTCGCGGTCAGGTTGAGGATAGACTGGAGTTCTATGCCACCGGCAAGAAGCCAGTCAAGAACCAAGACGCCATGGTAAGATAGGACACCCTTTGAATACAGATCGCATTGGCTGCTAACACACGCAACAGGACAAGGCCGTAGCGGATCTCCTGGCCGAGGGCGACGACATGGCCATCGACCACGAGATGATCGACGCCCCCTTCCCAGACAACACGGAGGCGCCCAAGAAGGAGAAGAAGTCCAAAGACAAGGAGAAGAAAGAGAAGAAGGACAAGGAGGAGAAGAAGGAGAAGAAAGACAAGAAGCGCAGACACAGCGAAGTCAAGGACACGGCCGAAGCAGACGCCGAAGTAGAGGGCGAAAAGAAGAAGAAAAAGAAGAAGAGACACTCGGAGGCGTGAGAAGGAGGGGAAACATGAAACAAAAAAAGCCAGCCCGGAAACTTGATAACTGAACTGCCAATTTTCACTTGGAGGTCGGGAAAAAGGGATCGTCGGCTGTTCTTTACGGCACGCACGCATGGTTATGGGCGTTTTGTTACGGGTCTTTTTTCTTTCTCTGTCGGGTTGCTAGATATCTTGCTCTCTTGTTTATTATCTTTTCTTTAGTTGTAACGGACGGTGTTTATCAGTCTCTTCT